TTCAAGTGACCCAAGGGTCCAAACATATGTACATGCAAGTTAGTTCCTTGAAAAAAGTATTCAGGTGTCTTTAATATTGAAATTTGAAGTTCAAATCCACAAACTCTACAATTTTATAACATTGGGTCACTGTGTGGCTGTGTGGCTGAACCGAACTTTATAACATAACATTATGTACATGGTATTTACATCCAAGAAAGTCCTTTGTCGGTACTGTTGTCAATATGTCAACAGCAATCCAATTTTGGGTGCTGACTGTTTAACTGACTTTTCTTTGAGTAGCAGCGGAAAAGATTTGGGACTTGCAACATTACTGAGGTTAGAACAAAGGGCGTGTGCACTGGAAATGGGGGTCACACTTTGGTCCTTTTGGGGGGGGACCCCCTTTTGCAGTGTAAAAAGGAGGAACCTGTAATCCGTGGCTTTATAATGTTATATTGTAAGGTTAATAGTTGGGGAAGCTTTCGGGTGATATGAATTGGTTGGCTGGTACCCTACCCTAGGCTGGTAAACCCCATAAAAGGGCATAGGAAAACTGACTTTAATCTGGAAATACAGAACATTAATTAAAACAAAAGAAAATAGGTACAAGTGCCCGTAAAATTCTAGGTTTACTCTCCTTGACCTAAATGTTTGGCTGACCCTCTTAGCTGAAGGACTTCAAATAAACCTACATGTTAAAGACCTATCAAGACAACCCTTATTAAAGGTTGGTCAGCTCAGATATGGGGGCAGAGGCAAACCTTGACTGACCCTCAATAACCCAGCTCAGAATAGGGGTTCTTTTGTGGAACTGGGACGGTGCAAGGTTCCTTTTGTTGGACCAAGAGTTTTTTTTTCTCTTTTTTTGACAGAGCTAGTCACCAGGAGAGTGACGCAGTAGGTGTGGTGTTGAAAGTTTGGTAAAGAAAATTAATTAAGAAGGGATAAAGTTATAGACTGGCTTCGAACATTGCAAAACTCTGGCGAAAAATCAGCTACATTTGTTCCTTACATTTATTTGTGGGGATTAAAGGAGACTGATTTTTTCTCTGTGACTTGATATCTGAACTTTCAGGAACTTTATAAAACGGTTAACACCCCTGGACACTCTAGACAAAAACTGACGAGATTATTTAATCACATATAATTTCATTTTTATAACTCCAGTAGAGAGATAGTTTTGCAATGTTTTATGTCAATATCAGAATAAAAACAGTGGAAAATGCACTGGAACAATGGTAAAAAAACGTCAAAAAGGTTCACTCCCTAATTTTTTTTTCCTAATCAGAAACACAGAATCCAAGTTTCCTCACCTCATCCCTGATTTGTGTAAGGAAAAAAAATTCAGGGCCTAAAAGTTGACCTCAGGCAAAGTCATCCATCAGCTCCTTCAGACTGCCTCTTAAACTTAAAAGAAAAAAAAAAACCCTAGCAGGCTCTCCAGGGCCAGAAGCCTGACAAATTAGGGACAGGAACAACCCTGGGCTTTGTTCCCTGGGCTGGGGGGAAGGGGGGGCCCTAACAACTCTCCCAGGACAAGTAGAATTAACAAATGTTTAGGTGCTCCTGCACTTGATGACACTGTCGTAACTTATGATGCTGTCTAAACAATCAGAGGTGGTCTCTTCAATTTTATGTAAGTGGGAAATCGGAAGGTTCTTTGTTGGGTTGTAACCTTGTGTCCTGCGTGACCTTCGGGTTTGTCTGGCCCCAGCCATGAATCTGCAGCAATTGCTCCAGGACATGAAAATATAAGGGTGTCCTACCATAGTCCTCCAATGTGGGACTTAACGATATGATTATTCGGCCGACAGTGGCAGATTTGATCAGGTAGAATGGTCTGGTATTGACAATATTGCAAGGCAGTGCCTGTTTCTAGAGTGGGCATCCGGGGTACGAGACCAAAAAGCAACTCTTTCAAATCCAAGAGCCAGTGGGTAAATGTAGATCGACGTATGAAATGTGGTTGATGAATTGAACGATGAATGACAAATGGGGTAACGCATTCCCTACCCCTGCCTTCATGTTATTCCCACCCTATTAGCCCATCCGCAAAGTTACTGGCAAGAAGGATACTTGGCTACCAGCAACCAGTCCTCCAGACTCAAGGAGAGAGTAAAATTCTTCATCATCCAACATGACACGCTCAAAACCTGAGAGCAAAAATCCATCTGTCTGAAATTCTGAATTGGCCGACCTTCCACGCAAATACAGACCAAGATTGGTAATAAACGGAAATTTAAACCCTGTTGGCCTTTTAGCTCAGCAAACCAAAGGTGAACTGAGCAATCTTTGTACCAATGCCCCGTCCCAAATTAACCACAATTCAAAAACCCACTGCCCTTCTGAACCAACCCCCTCCTCCCAATTTAATCATCTTATTTAATTTTTGTCAAACAATATTGAAAAAGCCAGTCTTGACCTATCCCACTTGGCCCCTAGACTAAATCCTTCCACATCTGCCGGTCAGTAACCGGGGTCGTATTTTTTTTTTTAAACAAGAAAGAAGAAAGAAATCACGTTTCAAACTTGAGAGGGAAAAAATCTGATTGATGTCAGACAATATTTCCCGTGCTACACGGGTGATTGCTGGCTTTACAGTCAACTGCTGCTTCCAGATGGCTGTCATTCTCAGGCAAAAAGAGAAGCTCTTTTTAATGTCACTTAACGTGCCTGTATTTCCCTGGCAGATTATTAACGGCACGTTTTCGGTTTGAACAAGTAATACTAATAGCCATTGTCACAGGATGGGGATTTTTTTTATAGGAACTATATAAAGATTCTAATATGATATGCAAAGGCAGTACTGCTTCTAAGTTTAATAGTTTTTTTTGGAAGTACCACAAATTAGTTTGTAATTTCTGGATTAAAAGTAATAAATGATCATGTCTTGAGGTTGACGAAAGATCTTTGATGTGGTTTTCAGAGGCACATTTTAAGCCCAAATTCAAACTGAAATAGATCTGGAGGTCAGAATTAAGAATGAGTAGGCCTACTCTGTCACAAACTGAAAAGATGCATGGAATACGCTTGTAGGCCTACAGTATAAACTTCTCCCTTATGAATTAAAAGAAAGAAAAAAATTGAAGGGCAGATAAAAACGATGTGTGATCCTGTTGAGAGGTGAAAAGTACTTTGAATGGGCAAATACTACCCGAGAAATCAACTAATATAAATCAAGTCCTCTAAATATTTAGAAAAACCATCTCGGGCCCTCCACTCGTTTACACCTGCAAAACCTCTCCCCCCTCCAAAAAAAAAAACCCCTCCAACCTTACCGCTTCTCACAACTGCATCAGAAGACAATTAAAGTAAATAAAGAAAAAAGTGACGACTTGGACGACAAATTTACAGCATTCTATTAATCCAGATGAAAGTCCCTACCAAACCTGCAATTCCATTCTGGTGTGATTTATCGCTTTGGGTCCATAAAACCAAATAAAAAAGAAAAGTAATCAAATCTTTGCTTGTTAACTTGGGTAAGTGAACTTGCCCCGGCTAAAATATCCAGTCCACCCCGGGACGACCGTGATCTTTTTGACGTTCTCGGGGTTGTCTCGAGAAGATGGAAAAGGAGGATGGGAAGAGAGTCTGGGAATTACTGACATGCCGGGCATAACCAGGCCTGCTCTCTTATCATCTGGACTCTATCAGACGAAATACATCCGGGGTGGCTACCATAAATGCCTCCTCGAGACCAGCAAGTACTTGCACGCCGGACGCTGCTGGCAAAGAGGAGTACCCGTGCTGCATAAATACGAATTCCAGGTGTTGTGGGCAAAGCATCATTGCACCAGCCCTCTCAAAAAAGACCTCTTGCGAAGTTGCGACGTACATATGCATGTACTACTCTGCAGGACTACATGCATCTGAATTCTGATGGTTATTTTCAAAGATCTAACGTGAATTAACAACCATATGTACTAAGGAACAATATTACGTGCCAAAACTAAGGTCTGGTTGGTAAATCATGATTTTACCGACCTCTCAATAAAGTCCTCATGCATTGCATGCATACATGCATTATTCAGCAGGCCTACAAATAACTGTATTTAAACTTATCTGATTGTCATTAAAAAATTTGTACCAGACAGGTAGGACCACATACACTAAGATACAGCAGGCTAGAGTATTTATATATGAGTATACCGTCCTGACCTTTCCTTACCGATACAGTAATTTTTTGTCCAAATTCAACTTTAAATATATCAAGTTGGCAACGGCGAGTTTTAAATCCCATCGGTACAAACGTGTTTTAGAACTTCTTGTTTATGTCTGTGGGTTTGCTAGAACAAGCCTTGTGATTGGTCAGACTGTGCAAGATTGGTGATGTAATGGGCTTTCCAAATATGGTAATACTCCAGACTGCACAGTACTTGTCACAAAAAGTAAGACTCCATCCAAAAACAACATTTCTGGTTTCTGCTTATGTATTGGATTGTCCGCTGTGATGGTGCCGATATGGGACAGGGGTAGCTTCACTTGTGATGAGTCAAATCAGTTCTTCGCAATGACATTTTGCCACTAAGTACAACAGCCAGAATGAGCCACGTGAAAGAGGCAAACATTTATATTTGCGCCTGAAAAATGATTTAGAAACACACTGTTCAAGACAAACGGCCGCAAAATCTTTCATTCTTTGGACTAAATTTCAACAAAATGTAACAAATATACCATTTGTTTAAACCTCGTACTCTGAAGTACTAAAAAAATCAGAACTTCAATAAAAGAATGAAACTGCATTGGATGTATATTTGGTTGGTGTGTTGTAGAATTGGATCTAACATTGTAAATTACAATAACATGGAACAGCGCCCTCGCTTGACAACTGCAATGAGTAAAAAAGTTCTGGAGACAGAACAGCTGTGATACCTATAATCCGCTGCTCCCAACTTGAATGAAAATGTTACGACGTAGAAATTCTAGACACGTTTTCTTCTGAAAGGAAAAATCACTCAGTACTACAATGGTGGTATTTATCTGTTACGAAAAGGAAGAACGGAAAAAGTAGCACTTACGGCTTCTTCTAATGCCGCTTTCCTCCCGAAGAGGCAGGTCAGGGAAGACACGCAGGTGACGAAGGACGTCAAGAGGTCGGAGGGGATGGCTAGGAGTGCCGAGGGAGGGAACCGGGTGACCAGACTGTTGAAGATGGTGGCTATGCTGATGGCTTCGTGGTCTTGCAGAGCAGTGCTGGACCCGGGGGAAAAAAAATTATTTAATTAATAAAAAAAAAAAGATGTTTTCTAGTAGTGCTCTCGCCCAGACTCAAAACTCAACCCTGACCCTTGAAGTTAACTACGCCGTCCTTCAAAATCTACTGCGATCTTTTTGAGGATTTAGCAAGATTGAGAAAGGCATGGCTGACTTTGAACTCCTTAAAAAGCAAAAAAAATTCAAGTCCGCGCCACAGTGAGAATTTTGGAGCATTCCAGAGGGTCCCTTGCTAGAACGCCACGGCAGATCAGGTTGAGGGGCTTCCAGACTTTTTTGTCAAACCGTTGTGACCCTGAAGTGCTGAACACGGAACCACACACCACACTTACGGTTTCGTATTTAAATTAAGTTGGTGTGACGGTGAAAAGAATTTCTTTGCATACACCGTACATTTTTAGTCAGAAAACTAGAGTTCAAATATACCGACCTAAAAGTGTGACGTGATTTGGAAAAACCCATCGGACGTTGCAGAACTTGTTTTAGAGATAATGGCAAACAGTCTTCTTTTTTGTGGGACAGTTTAAGATTTTGTTATCAATTAGTTAACCCTAACAGTCCCAAATCCTCCAATTTCAATACGATTTAAAATACACCCTTGGGGGTTAGGGTTCACATTCAAATTCTTCTTGTTTGATGCAATAACAGCTGTAATTTGCAATCGTTCAGTCACTCAATTTCGTGTGATCTCATTAAAATTTTCTACACAGAAGTTTAAAGCTGGATTTCTCAACGTGAGGTCAGCCGGCTTTTACAATTTTTTAATGAGAGCATAACTCCCGTCACAGATAATCTAAAATATGAATGAAACTGTTCGAAAAGCACCATGGTGTCCTCGTTAATTTAATGGACATAACATTAAAACAACAATTTTCACAAACTGAGGGATTTTTCCAGCTGAGGTCACATGTAGTAAAGCTTGAGCCCCAGTGCAAGCCAGGGAGACGCTGAGCGGAAAACCTTGCCAATGTAAGTTCTGAGCTGAGTTCAGAGAACCAGTTTCACCTAAGTATACTTGGTATGGCAATTTGGCCGGTAACCTATTTCTGTGAAGAATTTTAGGTTAAGCGCTCAGCACACATCTGTGCAATCTTACCTGTTCAGCATCTGCAGGAGGCACTGGACGTAGTGGGAGAGATACTCGGCTGTTACCTTGTCCGAGCTCAGGACCGGCCCGCTCAGCGACGCCAGCTGGGCCAGGCACTGCAGGGCGTGGTGGCACATCTCCACGTTCTGTCGGACCTTGCTGTGGAGCTGGTGGAAAAGACGGACGGGAAAGATACGTCCAATTCAACACTTCTGTAGTGCCACGGACAAACTTTTACTTGATTATCGAGTTGCTCAGTGCCGAGTCAGCATCCAGCATCGAGCAGCTTCTTGATCAAATGTCATTTACGTATCATTACTGCATTCTTTACATAATCACTTCTGCACATTCGCTTACTTTGAAGAACAGCTCCAGCAATCCCTTATCGAGAAGGACATCCTTCCAGCTAGCGTCGGGTTTGAGGGGGGGCGCCTGAAGGGCCTCAAAGATGCCGATCCGCCTTCTAGTAGGTGTTTCTCAGAGTTAAAGAACAATGGTGTGAATAAAAGAGACGCTGCCAATAAATTAAGACCCGCCCACAACGAAACCCCTCCCCAAAAGAGACTCCACCTACAAAAAGAATTCCTTCACAAAAAGACCCTTCCCTCAAAAATACTTTACTAGAAAATGACCTCACCCATGCAAAAGACCACACTAACAAAAGGACTCCATCCACAAAAAGACCACGTCCGCAAAAAAAGACCCTGCCCTGATGCATAGGGGGTTTTGCAAACCGTGGCTGGGCCTCTGTCTTCACCTTCAAGCACGAGTTTCAAGAATTTCTAAACCCCCTAGGTTGAGAACCAAAAACTCAGAACAACTCCACCCTCTGCTGCAGATTCATCAACTTGTCCAATCTGAGGCCAAATTGGATCTTCATTCGGTTCCGACGGCAAATGCTTGAAAGTACAGTCATTTGCAAAAGTTTAGGACCACCCATACAAAATGCATTGACCTGATGGAAAACCAAACTTAAATCAATCAATCATGGCAACTTAGGTTTATTTTCAATGTGTAACCTTGGTGCCTTGGTTGAACATTTTTGACTACATTTCCTTGATTTGACATGTTAACAGTCTAATATTCAGTGTGCCCTCCCTTATTTCTGATCACTTAGACTGGCTTTTTTTTTACCCATGCTGCCTTAAGACACAATGTCATTCAACACCTGCCTTCGCAAAACAATTCATTCAAATGGGTACATAGCGCAACGCTGATGCTATGCACCACTGTTAAAAAACATGTTCAGTAATTATTCAGTGACACAATGTAATGCAGGTCCAGTGACAGAAATACCAACAACATTAAAGGTGGTCTTCAAACTTTTATAAATGACTGTAACTGCCGAGCTGAAGGTGCAGATGGAGACGGCTGGGAAGTCGCCGTGTGGGGAAAGGCCAAAACATGGGAGGGGGTGAGGAAATAAAGGATATGTCTGACAAGCATGAAATCCCAACTGAGAACCTGTTCCGCTATCGACAGGAACCGGCTACACACGGTGGTGGCTTCCTGGCCCAAGGCGGCATGGTTGGCCTCAAACTGGTGAAGGACTTGGACAGCAAAGAGGAAGACTCGCTTCAGATCTTTGACCTGGGGTCGGAGGGTTTAAGCGCAACAAACATTTTTATCAGTAAGGTTTGGAAACTTAAACGGTGGCTGGTTCAAAGTACGGACATTTGCGATGACGCCATGGGAAAATGAGATCTCACACGATACGAAGGTTGTTCCTTCTGGTGAAGAAAATTGGAAATACTGATCCAAAAATTGAAATTTATTATTCCAACTGTAATTCTACACGGAGGATCTAGTATTGTACTTTGCTTGTGTCAGTACTCAAATAATTATTTTTAACTTCTTTCCTCTACTTGGAATTCATTTTCTCTTTGTCTAGCATGGTAAAAATCCAACTCATATGTGAGCATGTGCTTTCCCTGACTTTCCGATTTCGACGTGAAAAATCCCTTCCCTTGCTGGTGGCATCTCTTCCAATCCCCCTACCTCAAACAGCCGCTTGCAGTCGTTGTGGAATTCCCAGCTGAGCCCGATGGCGCTGGTGCGGCTGGAGCTGGAGTACTCGTTCAGCAGAGCGGTCAGCATGGAGCAGGCCATCAGTTGCTGACCGACATAATGCCAAGACAAATCAAAAGGTATCAATGACACTCTGGTGTTATTGTTCCTTGTTCGGCCCAAATCGCATGTAGATTTTGTCCATGATTTTTTTTTTGGGGGGGAGGGGTAACTATGTGTTATTGTGTCGGGATTATGTGGCTATGACAACCATGCTCAGATTCAGAGTGAAGGTTAAAAACCAATGATGGATGGGGGGCTATAAAAGGGGCCACGCCCCCCAAAAGGAGCCTCCCAATTATTTGGTTAATTTTGTTTCCCTTCCAGCCTTCAAAAAGCATGTAAAAATCTCAGAGAGACCATTAAAGAATACATGAAAAAATTTTCAAACATTTTGGCCCATTTCTCCTCCGAAATTTTGGTCTTGATCTGTCCTTGTGTAAAGAGACTTCGATAAGAGTCTCTCCCCATACAAGGCCACCACATCCAGTCTTCCTCGATTCATTTTTATGAGAATGGCCCGCAGCACCCAAAAAAGGGGCGGGGAAATGTCTCCGTGTGAAAGTGGTACAAACCAACCATGGAGAGATTTGATAGATGGGTTTAATAAATTCAAACCTCACGCATCTTTTTGATTTTGTAAGACACAGAAAAGATTTGCACAACTAAGGTGTCAAAGCTGCTGGAATTTTATGCTTGGATTTGGACAAAACAAAATAGGGTGGTCAAAGTGGCCTACTGACAGATGCCCAGAATGACCTGGTGCCCTGGCACGCGGGCGAGATTGGAGGAAAATTAAAAATCCAGGAAATAATCACGCCATGTTTTGCGGGCCCCACGGCAGTGTATGTTTTATGGTGCTTATTTGTGTTAGCCGGAAGGCACCCTTTAACATCCCCATTACTTATATTCTACGTCAAGTCTGTGTGGAAAAAGTTCAGTGATAAACTTGGGATGTTACAGATTATTAAAACAGTTTGTTTGAAAAATCCTGAAATCAGGAAAATCCTGTTGAAAAAATCCTGAAATCGGGAAAAATCCTGACAAATCTCACTCCACTGGCCAGTGCTGCAGTAGAGACCACCACAAGACCAGACACAAGACCATCGCAACACCAGCCACAAGACCATCACAAGACCAGATACAAGACCAGACACAAGACCATCACAAGACCAGACACAAGACCATCACAAGACCAGACACAAGACCAGACACATGACCAGACACAAGACCAGACACAAGACCAGACACAAGACCGGACACAAGACCATCACAAGACCAGACACAAGACCAGACACAAGACCACGCACAAGACCACGCACAAGATCATTTGCAAGTAACAGGGTGAACAATGACAAAGGAATACTTTTGTTACAGTTCATTTAAATAGCTTGACTTGTATTCAGACTGAAGGTCATGTGAAAGTCTTAAGTGGTCTCGACCACAACACTGCTACTGGTTATGGCATTATGCCAGACTTCGTCAGGTTTCGCCCTTTCAGACTTTTTGTAATTTTTTTTTACCAGTTGTGGTTGGCCGCTCGCGATCATCTGGGACACGTCGGTAAAGAGAGCATCCCGTCCGGTATCCTTCATGTCCATGGTTCCCCGCTTGAAGATGACAGCCACGGCCTGAAGAATCTGCTCACGGACGTAGTTTGGAAGCCTGAAAAACAGAACATTCAAAGCAGAAGAAGAACATCAGACTTGAAGCGAATATCAAGTATCATCAGACCTCAAGTTTCCATTTCAAAACTTGATGCCAAAGCAGATTTTCGGTCTCTGTTGGGTTCCAGTCCACATTTTCTGGTCCACAAAGACTTAAACAAAAGTCTTCGGAGTCAGGAAACCCATGAGGGTGATACCAACTTTGTTTTCTCAAACATCACTTAAGTCTTGGATTAGAGTCTTTAGTACATGATGTTAACTTCAAGGTTGTAAGCAAACTGAGGTAACAGTTCCAGGTCTCAAGTTTTGGGGAAAAAGAGTCCTCCTCGTGACACTATCTCGCTGGATATTCAAGGTCCCAAGCTGAACACTTGACACTTGCCACCTCCATTCTCAAGTTAAACCACCTGTGTTGGGCTATGTGTAGATGTTGGGACCTTCTTAAAAGAAGTCCGTTCTCAGTTTCAAGTCTAACATCTGACAGCCAGTGAGCCTCTGCTCTCCAGAAAAAAACAAAAAAAAACCAAAAACCTTTTTCCAGGAAACCAAAAGGGTGCTCTTTAGGCAACAATCCCATAATCCTTTGATTCAGTCCTTCAACCAACCAGTCCTCTAATCAAACCTGAAGACAATTTTCACACACCCTAAGGGGTGAGGGTTAACAGTGTCAGATGCATGCAAACTCACTTTAATTCCCCAGGTGCATGGAAGTTCTGCCATGGAACACACAGACCCTACTTCCTCCATGTATCATCTCTGTCTTCATGTTTCTTAGACTGTACAAGTCCGAGCACAAAACTAATCTGTCACAAATTCCAGCACACATGAAACACTTCAAACAAACGACCACAAGTACATCCAACGCTACCGAAGACCTACCTCCACTTCAGATTTATCTGTCCATAACAACACAAGTCTCAGAATGTGCGCCAGTGGTGTGAAGCTTTGAATGTGAATATCAGCAATTTCGCAACAAACCGAGGTTGTCGTCTGAGAGCGAGTGATGTCACCACGCACGGCCTGCCAAATATCAGCCCCTGCGGGGGCAACCGCCCAGCACCCCCAAGTCTGAGTAGGCAGTAACAAATGTGGGCACCGCATGTTCTTTCGCCTTCCTAGCTCTATTGTACGGCACATGCATGTGGGTTATATATATTTTAATGCCATTTTTCCTCTTTCTTTTCTCAGGTTTTTTTTTTTTTTTTTTTTTTGGGCATCCGTGTCGGCGGCGGACATCAATGTGCACGTAGCATGATTCACTTCCTCGATTCTGATTGGATAACAATGGCAGAATGCCCGCCGGGCGGCGGGGTTACTCGAAGGAGTCTGTGCGGAACGCTGCTTTGCTGGGATGACAGGGGAACAGAAAATGAAAGACTGACAGACTCCACAGCTGTCTCTCCCTTGCCTGGACAAGTGCTACCATGACATGTCTGTAGATCTCACTCTCTTTGTTCAACAAATCTTGAAATTTCTATTTACAATCTGTTTAACAAAGTCTTGTAAGCACCTTGGCCACTTCATAGCCTGACTGAAAATGGAGCACATCTTTTAAAGAACAAAAAATCATGCTCATTTTACCGACAGCAGGTAATATTTCCTCTGTCTCTTGAAAATGACGGCATTACAGCATATTGCAGCATATTACAACCATTTTTCAAACTAAGAATCAATTGTATCATCTTCACAATGTATCTAATTGAATCACTTCAAAATCTTTGAAATCTGCTCTACCTGCTCCTTTTCTAGGTCATGTTTAAACTTACTTTCGGTGCCATTTTTCTGGGGAAAGGGTTTAGGGGACGGTTTCTATGACTTGGAACCTGTTAGTATACGACTCATGCTTTCAGGACGGAATACCTGTGATGACACGCAAGCTCTTTACTAATGCCACCAACAAACATAAGCAGGTCAGAAAAAAACTACAACCATCCGTCTGAGTTTTTGGGCCTCACATACCCACGCACACAAGGGGAAAAACTGAGGCATAATCGGCCAAATGTGGGCCGCCGTTCCCCGGGGGGAAGGTTCACTTCCTGTTCCAGTTTGTTCCGTGGATTATGCCAGGGGGGGGGTTAGGGGTGGGGGAGAGGGAGAAAGAGAGAGGAAGGCAGCGCAGTCTGGCATCAATCTTCCCCTTGTAACTGTCAAGTCTGGATTCCTGGTTGCGGCTTACCACCAGACACTCTACGTGTTGCGGGGGGCATATGCCCCCCCCGGGACATTCCCGACAACTTTTCTTCTTTACTTCTACGTGCACGCAAGTGCCCACTGCATTGTCACGGCAGACTGGCACTCGTTTATGGTGGTGTTTCTCAAGTTTCATGTCTGGTATCCTGTGCCCAATGCTGCTGGTACCCAGCCTTCAGGTTTTTCTGTGTCATTGTTTTACTGTCCTATCCACTCGCCTCATTCCCACTCTTCTGGAACAGACGATGGGTTACAAACTCAAACTCAAACTCAAACAACCTAATTCATAACCAGATGAAACCACTTTATTCCTTGGGACAGAAAACATTTCTGTGGGTCTCTCAAAAACAAACCAAAAACAAACCCCCACAATCAGGTTTGCTTATCTCAAAAAACTAAACAGACAGACAAACAAACACCCCAACAAACATGCTCACAACAAAGAAAGAAAGAAAGAAACAAAGAAAAAAACAATAAACAAACAAAACACGGGGGAGGGGAGGGAAGCAGATGGGGCATACTTGGAAGATTGAGCTTTGGTCCTCTTGGGAGGTTCAAAACTCCTTTCCACGCTTGTTTGGAGCATTTTGTCACATTTTGAGTACTGTCATCCCCGGGGGGTTAACTGCTTGGCATATTCAAGGAGGAAAGTGTTGGGGGGTTCGAACCCCTTCCCATACTCACTTTGCATTCTGCATGACGTACTTGAGGAGGAATGTCTGCATGGATTCAATCTCCTTCCGGTTCAGCAGCAGCCACTCCCGCACTGCTGCCTCCTTGATGGTGGATGCCGCCTGGAACAGCACGTAGTCTGCCTTGCTGTGCTCTGTTGGACAAAAAAATAAAAAGCCGACGAGGGGGAGAATTGGCGAGAATGCATGAGAGAAGACGAGAATCCGTGAGGCACCGAGAGAACAACTTCACTCATATGCGCCAGACAAAACAAGAACAGGCTAAATAGGGGCGATTTGCAACACTGCCTAACTGTCGTTAGCGGACACCAATCAAAAGTTTGCACTGCATTGCAGGAAAAAAGCTGACCATCTTTTGCAACCACAATTTCGCTACTCTCCCCTTATCAGTAATCACATTGACTTCACTCACTAAACGCCTTCCATTTTGTGGTACATGTAGCCAGTAAAGCATCATACAGTTTACACTGATGTTCTGTGAGCTACAAATGGATTTGTTTGGGGATAAATGTCGGGTCGTTCTGTACTGTCAATACTTTCTGTTTGAGAGATTATGAAACAGAATGAGAGCTGAGCCCTTGCTGGAACTCTGCCAGATGAAACAGCATGAAATAGAGTGAGGTGGCGAAAGAGATACTTAAAGTTGGCCTTAATACCGAGCTCTGCAAAATATGGGAGGGGGGGAAGACAAGCACGATGTATTCAAATTGAATTTGAAAACTGTGCTAGGATACATCTGGGTCCCATTTCCTGCCGACAGACAATGGACATCGGAGTGAAACGCAAAAACACGGGGAAGTTGAAATTTCCAGAACATGTGCTGGTGCGTGAGTGAGTGATTTGACTTTGGAACAAGTGTTGTATTAGCCGTGAACCACATTACAGCAAATCCAAGTACTAAAAGTCAAGAATTGTGAGTCAACCTTAATCCACAAGAAGACTGGAAGTCACAATGGAGGCTTCTGTTTTTGTCTAGGCAAAGTTGTTTTCCTTTGTCTGCAAATTTTCTTGACTAAACATAATCCAGTAACCTCTGCCCCCTTGAAAAACAAAAAACCGCAAGCCTCTGGAAGTTCTCAATTACAGAGATTTGGAGAATGTGTTTTAAAGTTGTGACCGGTTTGTGATGTTCAAAAACCAATGTAGTTTTTTTCAGCGCGTACTGAACTGTTTGAACAATGCTTCTGTGTTAAGACGATTCATTCGACACACCAACATGCCAACTTCTGTTGAAATCTTTTTCCCCGTCTGGGCCAAATGTCAAAGAAAGGTTAAAACTCTGCCTTACATTTTTGGTCAGCAAATTAATGTACTCAGCACATATATGCTGGGTACCAGTCATAATTGATGACACTGTACATCAAAAAGGTTGGTTGCCAATGAAGTTCTACACTCAGTGAATTTCTGTGCTTAGCTGTTCCTTAAAGTTAGCCCACAACCACATTTAAAAATATTTTTATTCAGCAGCATTTGCAGGAGAAGTCTCCAGATCAGGCAATGAGCCACTTTGGTATTTCAACAGCACATGCCCAAAATGAAGCGTATCTGAGGTCATTCAGATGTGTGCGTGAGATCTGCCCATCCAGCGTGGCCCTACGCAGACTCGCACGCACGCTTTGTTCCTCGAGTGACCTTGCTCTTTTGATTGAAATACCAATCTGACTCATTGGTTCACCACCTCCCACTCCGATACCAACCTAGAATGTGTCTGCAGGCCGCAAAGGGAGCCTTCGACTTCCTGAAGGCCAAGATGACGTGCTCGGCAGACTGACGTTGTTCCTTGCTTACCAAGGCGGGCGGGGCCTTTGAGAAAAAGAGAAGGAGAAGCATGTCAAGTGCTTTCAATGATCTACTTAAAAAAAAAGAAATGATCACAATTTTGGACGAAGCTTAGCTTCTTCAGGTACTTGATAAAGCTACATGTACGTGGATAATTCCAGAAACTAGGGGGTCCTTTTTTTTCGTGTCCCTGTCAAATCTGACATATAATTTTGTAAGTTCAGAACACATTTTCTAATTTCCAAGAGTGATGAATTAATGCAAAGTACCTGCCAAACAAATACTAATAGTAGAAATCAATTCCGGTGATATTTCTATGTGAAATAACAAAGATTAGATGTAACAGGGACACAAAAATGTCACACTTTAGGAGCCCTAATTTCTGGAATTACCCACTTATAAATGTTGATTAAGGCTCAACTTTTTCACAGCATCTGGTGGCAAGGGTTCAAAGCTGCCATACCATCCACTGGATTGGCTGATCAAAGATCAGGCCATCTCATTTCGGCCCCTGATTCATGCTGATAACACACCCATATCCCTTTCGTGAACTTATGAAAATAGATAAAGGTTAGATTGGCCATCGTCCTTTTCCTGCACATGGCTTTGAGAGAGGGAGGAGATAGCAGACAGGGTTTGCTTTATTAAAGGATGAAAAAGATGACAGTCATTTTTTTTTTATCTACGAATAAAATATCCGCCTTTCTCCTCCTGGCAAAATTTGTGAAACTCTCACCGCTTGGTGCTAAATGAGCCCATGCTCTGGATGGAAATCTAAAGATTTATTCATGCAGTGTAATAACTAGGGGTTTGTAAATTTTGAACAGGGGGGAAAAAATGCCTGTCTGCCTGTCCTCGGTGGGCGGCCAGGTAGCTAGATGCGATGCTGATGATGCTAAACTTTATTTCTGGACTTCATTTCTCCCTTTTGCGACAGGAAAGTAGTACCGTAAAATCCCACTTGTCAGAGAGTTGTGGTTTCATACTATGACTGCTACACTCCTGCTTCTTGCCCTTGAAGCTACTGGTCTTGCTGTCACTGTCTCTAGGGTATGCTTTTACCAGTTGTCAAGACTCTACCGGTGACAGCAAAAGGACGGCAGATAATTACAAGCGTCAAGTACAGGGCCTGTTTATTTCACATGGATCTGGATTGCGATCAGTGATCCCAGAGCTGGTTCCTGCTGTCCATCAGGCGGATTTAGGTGTCAGTGAACCAACGACAGACCATGAACCGCATCTGCGTGAAGCAAACAGGCCCACAGGCTGTAGTGCTGATTCTCACTGCCAACTGGACAGCGCTGTATCTCGCATCATCAGCATGCAGCGCCCCAAAGCACCTGTCTTTCAAGAAGCCAGGAGGTGGTTCACGGATGAATTACTTTTCTATTAAGGCTAATGAGTATCCTTCAATTATGCTGTCCTTTGCTGAGGGTGTCTTTGATTTTTGTTCAGCGGACCCTCTGGTATGAAGTCAGGTGAACTCAGACTTCAGGTCGGCCTCAGTGGAGGCATCCTGATTCCAGAATATCAAATGCTGTTGTTGGCGAAATGAAGACGCTCCGCAACAGTACATTAAACTGCAGCCTATTAAACTTGTTTAAAAGCCAGCACGAGCAACAAAATTCAAACCGCAGCCAGCAGTGTTTGAACCTTAGAGGGGGAAATCCACCAAGGCTGAGACCTTCAGCAGAAGGGAGTGGAGGAGATCAAACTCCAAAAAATCTGACACAGCCAAGCCAGTCCAGAACAGAAAGCAGAGCAGATCAGACCATGGGACAAACAGGAAGGCCAACGCCTTCAGCAACAGACAGCAGAATAGAAGAGATCGCATTTCAAGAAACCCATCACGGCAAAGATCATCCAGCCCCGAAAGCAGAACAGGTCCAACTGCAGGGCATCCAAAGAAGTTAGGACCTTCTGCAGCGGGCAGCAGGGAGGTCAAGATAATCTAAAAGTGGCCAGCACTGGCTACAATCCATCGACGCCAAGATGAGCCACATCAGCCCCAAAAACAGCCTGAACCGCTCGAAACTGACAAACTCCACAATACTGCTACACCAAAAAGCTGACAGAGCACAGTAAAGATGTCTAATTCCACCTCTGTCAAGATACATGGATCTCAAAACAGCAGCAGAGCAAACTAATGGGAGAACTACTGATTCAAAAAAAAAACAAACCAACTCAACTCTGACTGGGACGGCGAAATCCCCCCCTGCAAAAACCCTATGACCCTGATGCAACAATATTTTCCCTGCAAATTTGTAAAATCTCTGTAAAAGGGGCACTGAAGCTAAATGCCAATATTCATTCATCAAAAACTTTTGACAATCAGAACATACACCGCACACACACCCACGTATGCCTCGTACACGGATCTCAATGTAAATCAGTGTGAATTGTGTACCACACACACGAGCACTGAGAAAGAGAAAGTCAAGCAACTCTGCTCGTAAAATCTGCCACACGTACTCCTGCTGGAATGTGAGTGTACGAACAGAGGTATTTCTTTATGCAGCGGGGGTGTCGCTGCTTGAAGTATCGGCACATTCCGGACCGGTGCTTCTATTTACAAAAGTGTACAGTACATGTACACTGCATGCTTAGTGCGGACATATACGAAGCACATTCAGAGCAAGCACGGAATCGACATCGAAGCTGCTAAGCATTGCAACGTCTGTGCATCAATTCTACTAGATTTTAAGACAGCCGATCAGGGTGGCATGACATCGAAATACGCTTTCAATAGGTTTGCAAGTATCTGAAACCAAGGATTTTCGGGGTTTTTTACAGGCTTATGGATGTTTATGGAAAAAGGACACGATGGCAAAGCTAAATATAGGGCAAGGCAAAACTGGCCGTGAGGACAGAGATTTTTTGCGGGGCACCTCGGCAAGTGAGAAGGGCAACTGGCCGTCGTTGCTACATTCATTTCACGGCCTGACTTTCTGTTGGCTGCTATGTCTCTGATGGGAAAATTAGTGATGCGTATGGAATTGTATCCAAAGGGATATATCAAAATGGTCTGCTGTATATTGAGAAATACGAGCACAGTACAATTCCAGCATGAGCACCAGACTCAAATGTGCACGCAGTAGTTAAGAATAATGGTGAAACTAGTGAAACAAGGAGGAATGACACACTTCTATAAATAAATTTACAATCAGGGGGCCTAGCACCCCCACTAGCATAGGTAAGAGTTGGCCTACACTCCAACAACTACAACACTACAGAGGGTTTGCATGGCTGCCATCTTGCAGGCCAGTGCTTTTGTTCCACAGGGTATGCACAAGGGAGGTTTCCCCACGGAACAAAAGAACTGCCCTGCAAGATGGCTACCACACAAAGCCAGCGGCCATGTGTAAAGACAAAGTCTACAGGGAACCATCGTGGAATTGTTCTCAGTTTTTCTTTTCTCACCCCTCCCTTTTTAAAAAAAACAGCGACAAAAATTCTGTAACACAAGACGTCAAGAGAGCGATGGTGTCAAGACGGAAGATTCTTCCTCAGTATTATTGGAAAAAAAGCAATAAGTAGATCAGCACTGGAAACAATATGGAAAGAAGTCTATATGAAGGCTACAATTTTTTCCCTACAGTTACTTACATGTAGATGTATTTGGTTTTTTTTTTGGTTGCCATCTGAAAGCAAAAAAGTCCTTAAAACTCAAATTCTGCTGTGAAAATATTGAGGTATTCAAGTGCTCAGGAAACAGAATTTATTTCAGACCAGTCTCACAGCATTTGTGCACAGGGTGCCAAGTGACATGCATCTGTGTGAAATTCTTTCCAAACAGTGAAATTTTGAAATATTAAATTAAGGCCTGCTGAACAGTAGTACTGTTAGGAAAATGGGGACCCCAAGCTGGGGATCCCCAGGTTTTTTTTGTCAATTTAATCTTGTAAAACTGGTCAGTCCCCCAAAACTAAAGGCAACCATCTCTTTATTGCACTGAACCTATTTTTTTGGAATTTCGAATGGCAAATTGGGAGAAAATGTGACTTTCTTACTACTAAACCAGACATGTAAATTTAAATCCACCACACATGTATGTCATGTATTAAAACACTCACATTTCCCGTCATAATTTCCCTCAAAACTCAAAACCCTGCCCTCTTTTCACAACATCCACAGTGCAGTTTAATTGAGTATAATGTCATCATCATCTATTATTTAAGGTGAATCTAAAAGTTAAACTGTAGGTTTCCCTTCTTCACGTATTATTCTTGCAGTCGGACACCCGGCAACCTCTGTACATTGTTAAATAGTAGAAAGAGTAAGGTTGCCCCTTTGCCATGTTTTAAAAGTCCACACCGACGTGAGAGTAGGAACAGGTCCCCAACATTCCCAAGGATTTTCCCCACTGACTTACATGTGAATGCTATTCAATCTCCTCTAAATCCAGACGGGATGATGAATAACAGCCACCACTAATCAGTCAAGGACGAGAAACAAGGCCAAGTGTCCTCATGCTGACCAAGAGAACATGTATGTAGGCCTAGGCCTATCGTCTGGCTAACCATGCTAACGTTCCTTATCCATGTGTAATCAAGTTAGGCCTACCATTATTACCATTCATCAAAACAGGCTGATACTACTCATGCCAGTTAATTGCGAAATATAAACACGTGCGAAAAATTGCGAAAACCGCACTAGTAGAACATACCCGAACCCCCCAAACTCCACAAGGGTTGAACTTCATATTTCGTTCAATTTTCGGACGCCTAAACTTAAAAATCTGCAATCTAACTCCTGTTTTTCTTACCATTATCAACTGCGCCGCGTGTTCCAGGTCGCTCAAGAAAGCCGCCATCTTGCTGAACGGGTGTTAAGCAGAGGATGGTGGCGCTCTATTATTTCATTGACCAAACTTGCGCATTATTTAAAGAGCGGGTGCCCTGGTGCACTATAGTGCGCGTCTCGTATCGTATAAAATTAACAAGAAAAACCCCACCTTGACGATAATTGCAAGAATCTGAAATGAAACGTTTTCCACTCTACAAAACAGTGTTTAATGGTGGCTGTCACATCATTGTAGAAAGCAAGCTTAAGTGGATACTATCAACTTAAATCAGTCCCTAACATCCCGTGCAGTTTTCGGGGTAAAACATCAGCAGGGGGAACTTGCTGAACTATCGTAAAATTTTGGCCAGAATCCTGCCCCCCCCCACCTTTAAGGTCTGAAGCATGAGTTCCCCCAAATAAACCAATCCGGACTATTGTGAACAGGAAAAAGAAACAGAAACAATATGAAAAGTTACCCAAAATACATGGGCAGTTCAGTCTAAAATCTTCTGCCCAAGCTCTGATTTACCGTTGGATCTTGCTGAAGATCAATAAAAAAACTAGTGCAACAAGACTAAACACATCGTTTTCCAGACACCAAAAAACAAAACATTCCCTTGGCATTACTTCCTTTATTTCACAATCCTTTCCTACGATGTAAATATAATCATTTTAAAAATCTTGTAAATACAATATTTCACAAATTAACTGTCAAGTTGGTAAAACTGGTTGCTTAACAGTAATCCCTGGAAATCCATACAAAAAATTAAACAAAAACCACCAACATGACCAAGATAAAAATTCTGAAAAAAACAAAACAGAAATATATTTGCAACTTGGCACTTGAGCAGTCCCATCTTTACCAAGTTGCCAGTTGGTAGCATAGTCAGGTCGTGTCTGATCTTCACTGTGGCTATGACTTCGATATTCTGCAACAAGCCAGGTTGAGATGAATATCCACTAGCCGCAGCCGCAGCCGCAGCCACAGCCGCAATGTCTCATTGCTGGGGCTAGTATTATCATACAAGTCCACTGCAAACGGCTACAGCAGCCAGTCACTGGGTGCATGTTATTTCTAGCCACAGCCCTGGCATGAGGACACAACTACAGGCTTTCAAGCACTATCAAACAGTTTACACACTAAGCCACTGTTAAGCAGGGCCGGACTAAAGCCTTCCACAGGCTCTAGGCACCAGTCTTCCATACGGCTCCACTCAGTCATATGCACCAGCACCAATTTCAAAGCACTTGTAAGTGCTGGAGCCTCACCTTTCACGCTGATGCTAAGCTGCAGTGAAGAGTTATGCAGCTACTTTAAAGCTTTTCAAAAATCGAAACCTCAAAGAGAGAACTAGTTTCTTTGTAGACCTTTAAATCTTTAATAGACACCCTTTTTTTTCCGTAGGGCCTAGGCGTTCCATGATCTGGCCTGCTACCAAAGACAGCCACAGAGTTCTCAATCAGCCTCTTTTCTGAACCACTTTGGACTCCATCTGTACTCAGTAACTATTCTACTAGGTACTTGGCAAATGCCACTCTTTAAAAACGCCAAGTAAGCAAATTACGAAAACAATGTAAACAATATGCAGCAAATTAGATACCAAACTGTCATCACCCACCCCCAAATATAAACAGGTACATAATCAATTACGCATCACTTGCATTGATTTGTCAATGAATAGTCTCATCTTTAAAATATATTAAATTTACAAATTATGGCAATTTTAGATGCAACATCAGACATCTTTGTGGTGGATATTTTTACAAAGTTGATTTCGTTGTATACACATTTCATGTTATTTTACTTTAGAACAACTCCATGTCACCACTTTGGGAGGGGGGTGCTTCGATACTGTTAAAGGCCCCTGGGATGATCAGTAAATTCCCCTCTTTCAAAATGGTTGAAAACAACAGACCCTAGTTTAATTCTTGTTTTCATTTAGGCAGCATTCCCCCCCCCCATTTCCTTAAACTCACCACTCCACAGATTCTGAACCAAACTTTTCTTTTGTAACTAGATCCCCTCTTTCAACTCTAAAGTGGCAAGTATGGACTGAAAATTTAGCATTATTGCTCCCCCCTTCGTGGTGAAGTTCACCACCTCACCACAAAGGGGGAGCAAATGCACTAAGAATTCTCCACTGAAAAAAAACACCGCTCTACATCAAAGAATTACTGCCAAGTTTATCCCCTGTGGTACCATTTAAAATGGTGTTACTGGACACCAATTGAGCAGGAATACAAAAGAATACTGGAAAACGTGCTCAGTTTCTCTCAGGGGATATACAACAGAGAATTGGGAATTATGCCAATTAAAAAAACAGGTAACTCAAATCTGAATAAAAAACTGATCCATTTCCATCATATTGGTTGAACTAGGACACAACTGTTATGAAAATGCCTTAGTGTAAATATTGTTACAGTAGAAAAAGGTTTGGCAAAGCGTGGTTTGTGGAAGTTGTAATCCTTCAGCGTATAAAACTCAATTGCATAATTATACAAATGGTCGTGGATGCTGAAACATTCCAAACAAGTGGAGTGGATGAACTGAAGAGATGCATTGTGGGATATGTTATGAAGAGGTGATTTTCACATGTTCAAAGGCCTGTGACCCCGTTTTCTCAAGAGCAATCTCATCCACTTGGAGTTACATGCATTCTAACTGTGAGAGGAAGTCTTGGAACCCCACATATACATCATAGTTTGTCATTCACATCTTGCGTCATCGTTCCATGGATGATGAACTGAGACAGGCAATTTTTTTTAAGTCACAACATCAAAAGCTTCAATTTTTCATTTCTCTCTGAAAAGTGTATACAATGTAAGATAGAGTGGTCCCTTTCTTCTGCCAATACTGTGTTATCTGACCCTCTCTTCTGCCAATACTGTGTTATCTCACCCACATTGTAATTTTGTAAAAACACGAGTCACATGATAGTATGTAAAAGGTCAAAACTTCAAGGTCAAATGTTACTTCTAGGGATACAGAACAAACAGACCCCAACTGTTTGCATCAAAATCACAGTGGCATCACAGGGTACACGATCTGCATGCATAATTTGGTTGCTACAAACTCCTGAGAGATAGCACAATTAAAACAAACAATGCCTGCTGTCGGCGACCGACCTCATCAAAGTCTCTTGGGTTGCAAGGATTCCACGCACATCCCATCCTTGTCCACGAGCCGGAGCTTGGAGACGTCTGGATAGGTGGGCCAGTCTGGGTAGATCCTGGTGGAGTCCGTGCCTAGGTGGGCGATCAGCATACGGTTCATCTTGCCAAAACTGTGCAAAGGCGATAAGGAAAAAAAAGCAAAATAAGAAAACAAAAAAAATCTGAACAAAAACAAAGGGTGTTTAGTAAAACTGACGCCTATATGTTGTAGTCCAGACCTCTTTACACCAGCACAAGACCTCAAGTCTGAATTCAAGTCGCAAGCTATTCAAATGAACTGCAACAAAAGCATTCCTTTCTCATTATTTACCCTGTTCTTGTGACGAGTCTTATGAATGATCTTGAGCATGGTCTTGTGTCTGGTCTTGTGAAAAGGTCTCTTGATGGTCTCGACTACAACACTGCTATAGTTTCAAGATTAATAATGACTGTTTCTTGCTTGAGGCAACTGATAAAAGAGAGACAGATTAAGGAAGGAATAATATCCTCTTCTGAACAATGGCAACTCATAAATTGAACTTAAATACTCCCCTTTTGAAGGAGCATGTTTTGGGATTAATAACGTGGTCCCTCAAGCAAAACTCTCGCAAAAGAATACGACATAATGCTGATGTAAAATAAGAGTCAATTACAATATTTGGGAGCCCCTTTATTGCATTTCTTTTCCTGTTGGGCTTAAACATATTGTTAGACATTTCACCCAGGATCAAATTATTTAGACACATGTGATGAGGTCAGGCATGAACTTTGTGAAGGCACGGCTACTTATGATCTGTTGGGCATAAAACAGATTCCCTGAGGTCAGGTCATTGCTTGGATCACTTCCAGTTTCGCACCGCCGCCTGATTTTTTAAGCTCAGCACGTAACTGTTAGGCAGTATTTCATGCTTTGGGAAAGCCAGGCCTATATTTCACTGCATTTTTTCGCTTAAAGTTTTGGCTCCTTTGTGTGGCCATTCTCAGCCTCAAGTGCACAATGTTTGTGCTCTGTGCAATAAAGGTTCAAACCTAGAAACTGAACACACACTGAAGCATGTGGGAAACATGCATGGGTGCTGTGGCCAGCAACGGCTTGCTAACAATTCTAATTCTAATGACGATCTGGACACAATTGTTGTAAAGTGTCTTGCTTAAGAACATAATCTTTATTGAGTCCCCAAAATATGCATTAATCTCTTGTACCCTCCAACAGCTTAAAAACTGCTCAGCAAAGAAAAAAATGGTGAATGTCTAGTCATGCAGTGAATGGTAGGATGGCGGGTCTAACTTGATGAGTGATTGAAAAATTGAATGATTTGTTTGGTTTTACCAAGAACTACTTACAATTTTTAGAAGGCCTTGGTGGAGTGATTGGTACGTAAGCCGTTGGATAGATCTCTAAATCTGGAAAGGAAGTGGTTATGATTGTTCTTTTTTTTGTGTGTATGAAGTTTGGGTTTATAGATATTTTTAATCAGTCATCTGTGAGGACTGGAGGGGATTTATTTCTGAAATGATTCTGTGATGCCCCATGCAGGTGACATTGTGATTGGGATGGATGAAACTGACAGAGAGGCAGGTGTCATGCGATGGGGGTGGTGGTTGGGTGTGAGGAAGGGTAGCAGTTGGGTGTGGGGGAGGGATTGTGGTGTGGGAAAGGTTAGAGGCTACGTGGGTGAGGGGTAACTGCTGGATATGAGGGTGGTGGCTGGTTGTGAGGAGGGGTGGTGACTTGGAGTGGAGAAGGGTGGCAGTTGGGCGTGGGAAGAGTTGGCCACTGGATGTGGGCTGGGGTGGGTGTGCGGAAGGGTGGTGATTGGGTGTGAAGAGGGGTGGTGGTTGGGTGTGGGAAGGGGTGGGCACTGGATGTGGGCAGGGGTGGGGGTGGGGAAGGGGGGGGGTTGGGGGTG